ACAAGGCTCGGCTTGTTATACTTGGTAATCACCAGGTTGAAGGTATTGACTACAAAGAAACTTTTGCTCCTGTGGTCAAGTTGACCACCGTGCGCACTCTTTTAGCAGTCGCAGCAGTTAAGGGATGGGAATTGCATCAGATGGATGTTCACAATGCATTCCTGCATGGAGATCTTCCGGATGAGGTGTATATGAGGTTGCCACCTGGTTTCTCGAGTTCGTCCAATATGGTGTGCAAACTCAAGAAGTCTTTGTATGGTTTGAAACAGGCTCCAAGATGTTGGTTTGCAAAATTGTCTGGGGCATTGAGACGATATGGATTTGTGCAGTCTGTTTCCGATTACTCTTTATTTTCTTTTGTTGGAGAGAAAGGAGTAATTCATGTTCTAGTCTATGTAGATGATTTGATCATTGCAGGTGATAGTACTGAGATGATACACAAGTTCAAGGAATATTTAGCAGATTGCTTTCGGATGAAGGATTTGGGGACTCTGAAGTTCTTTCTTGGCATCGAGGTAGCACGAAGTACATCTGGAATTTTTCTCTGCCAACGAAAGTACGCTTTAGATATCATTACTGAGGCGGGGCTGTTAGGTGCCAGACCGTTGGGTGCCCCGATGGAGCCAAATCATCACTTGGCTCGTTCCCAAGCACCTGTCCTTGCCGATCCGGAACCGTATCGACGGCTGGTAGGAAGATTGGTCTATCTCTCTGTTACTCGACCTGAGCTCTCCTACGCCGTACATACTTTGGCACAGTTTTTGAAAGAACCAAGGGAGGATCAGTGGTCTGCAGCGCTTGGGGTGGTTCGTTACTTGAAAGGGTGTCCTGGACAGGGCATTTTACTCTGTGCAGATAGTAGTCTTCAGCTTACGGGATGGTGTGATTCAGACTGGGCAGCATGTCCTTTGACCCGGCGATCGTTGACAGGCTGGTTCGTGCAACTTGGGGAATCGCCGGTTTCGTGGAAGATAAAGAAGCAGACAACGGTGGCTCGTTCGTCTGTTGAGGCAGAGTACAGGGCTCTTGCTGTTCTTACCTGTGAGCTGAAGTGGTTGAAGAATTTGTTGCGATGCTTGGGGGTTGATCATAGGACTCCTATGACCGTACGTTGTGACAGCACCGCAGCACTTCATATTGCTGCTAATCCAGTTTTCCACGAACGAACGAAACATATTGAGATTGATTGTCATTTCGTTCGTGATGAGCTTTTACGAGGAGAAATTCGCGCTCTTCATGTGCCTACTACGCATCAGCTTGCAGACATTCACACAAAGGCACTTGGAAAGTCACACATGGAGTTTCTTATTCCCAAGTTGGGCATTTCAGCATTACATGCTCCAACTTGAGGGGGGGTGTAAAGGAGGAAAGAGAATATTTAACATTGATTAGCATTTATTTCCGTATATATTAGTTATGGTAGTTGCCTTGTATAGAGATTTCCTTTCCTTTGTTAATTAGGACTCTTTGCTATATATACGGCTGGATTGTAAATTGTAAAAGACAGAAGGGAATACAAAGATTTTGATTCCGAAACAATTCTTTCAGTACTATTAATCACCACTACATGATCTTACAATATGGCCTTAGAAACGATCCTAGGAATGCCCGGAGATCTAGGACTAGGATAGTTGTGAAGACCTGCCTTAGCATGTAGTTTTTGTTGGTTTGGTTTTTATGCCTTAGTCTGTAGTTGCTGCCTTAGTTTTTGTTGTTTGTGCACACCGAAATATCATGTTTTTCCCCTAAAGAAGCTTGGTGACACAAAGAGCTAACGCAAATAACCTTGGTTGACACTACCAGACTCACAAACATTGTTTGTGAAACAGAGACGGCGTCAACCTTGGTGTCATCTGTGGTGCGATTGTAACATGACCCGATTACGAAACAGGAACAGCTTAACACGGTGGCATACGAAATGCAAAGAGACGACACATCACAACAGAGTGAGAAAAGGGTGGTTTTGTCATCATCAAATCAAACAAACAGTTGAAGATTGAAACCTGAGTTCCAATGGAACCAGTTGAACCAAGAATTGAAATGGGCTTTGGGCCATCCCAAGTCCTTTGAATTGATTCAGCCACAGCACTTCCTGGCCAGGCAGGAGGGGGTGTCTTTGCCACACACTCCACTCTCTTTCCAAATTTTCCATTCCCTTTCTTTCTTTTGATTCCAACCCCACCTACAGAAACAAAATTTTAAAAATTAAAATATTACAAAATCCCCAATTCATAGTTTCATTCAAAAAATAAACACATATCATTCATCTTTCTATAAACAATAAATAAAAAAGATCAAATTTTTACTCAAAATTGAGAAATAAACATACAATCCAAACATGCCCATCACTTTGATTCAGTATGAGACTGAGAGTAAAGACTCCAAAATTCTTTAATTTTTGAGATTAATATATACTAAATAATAAACAAATTCCAATCACCCTTGTATTACAATAAACAAAGATTCAATTTTTATTCAAAATAGACAAATAAACAAAAAATTCCAAACAAGCCCATGATCTATAACAGTGTGTCCGTGTGCCATACCAAAATGCAGAATTCATAGTTTCATTCATAATAGAGACATAAATATGAGACTGAGATTAAAAGACTCCAAACTTCTTTTTTTTTTTTCAAAATGGATAAAAAAAACACATATCATTCACTTCTCTATAACAATGAATAAAAGGATGTTCAATTTTTAATCAAAATTGACAAATAAGCATACATCCAAACCTGCCCATCAGTTTGATTCAGTATGTGACTGAGAGTAAAAGACTCCAAAATTCTTTACTTTTTGACATAAATAAATAAACAATACCCCGAGTAAACAAATTCCAATCACCCGTCTATTACAATAAATAAAGATTCAATTTTTATTCAAAATAGACAAATAAACATAAAATCCAAACATGCCCATGATCTATAACTGTGTGCCATAGCAAAATCCTGAATCAAAACAGGAACAGCATATGAATCCTTACATGAAACATGTGAAGGGAGCTTGAGAGAGTGAAGAAGGTTGAAGTTAGACTTGGATGTGTCAAAGAAGGAGATGGTCTTGATCTCAGCAGGTGACATCAAATTCAAAGCCATTTCTCGCACAAATCAAAACCCACAATGGGCAAAAAGAAAAGAAGAAAAGAAAGAATGAAAATCTCAAAACTTTTTTTCCAATAAAAGCAAGCTAAGAGCAAACGAGCGAGAAGAAATACTGCAGTAGTGTGAGAGACTGTCGTTGTTGGGGGAGAGAGCGAATTGGATAGTAAATTGTTTGTGGCCACATACTTTGGTAGTTTGGTCATTTTGGTCCCATTGCTAAAAATGCTATTGACTCTTTTTTTTGTGGCATGATTCACCCTTAATTAAGTTGATTTTTCATAAATTGTACTCCCTCCCTCCGTTCCCTTGTATTTGTCCACTTTCATTTTTACACACCATCCAATGCACTTCTTTAATTCATTTTATCTTGTAATTTGTATATTAAAAAATTATAAAAATTATATATTAATAATCTATATGTTAAGACAAATCAAACAAGATCACACATGACTATATTTAGGCTTACACATTGAGAGAATTTGATGAGTCAAAGTGCTTAGATGAACAGTTCCAAAAGTCAAATGTGGACAAATACAGGGGGACGGAGGGAGTAATTATTTCCTTTTGAATTTGTGAAGTGTATCATTAGCCTTACAAAACATACACTTTTGAGAGTTTGAGGGAAAACNCCCTTAATTAAGTTGATTTTTCATAAATTGTACTCCCTCCCTCCGTTCCCTTGTATTTGTCCACTTTCATTTTTACACACCATCCAATGCACTTCTTTAATTCATTTTATCTTGTAATTTGTATATTAAAAAATTATAAAAATTATATATTAATAATCTATATGTTAAGACAAATCAAACAAGATCACACATGACTATATTTAGGCTTACACATTGAGAGAATTTGATGAGTCAAAGTGCTTAGATGAACAGTTCCAAAAGTCAAATGTGGACAAATACAGGGGGACGGAGGGAGTAATTATTTCCTTTTGAATTTGTGAAGTGTATCATTAGCCTTACAAAACATACACTTTTGAGAGTTTGAGGGAAAACATGTATATAGGATAATGATGTATTTTTAAAAATTCGGGAGATAAACATATACTTTATGAAGAATATTTTACGAAAAATATAGAAACTAATGGTGCACATTTAAAAGTTGAACGAAAACATACACTTTGTTAAAAATTAAGAATAAATGAGGCAAAAAACTAAAAAAAATTACTCAATTAGAAAATAGAAAATTACGATTATGATTATTATTATTATTACCCAAGAAAACAACTCTTTTATAAATATATCAAAGAATCTTTCTCATATATTTTATTTTTTTAAGTAATAAATATATGACTCGCATTATTTCTCTATCGTCTAAACAAATTCTAATTATACATTTTTTTTCAAATAAATAAGACTCTCTCTATATTTCAATAAATAATTTACTAATTTTAGCTTTCCCGGAAATTTAAAAAATATTGATAAGATGTTAATAAGTGAAGAATAAAATGTTAGAATTTATTGGGAAGAGATCAGAGACAATGGTTTGTGCCATATATTTCCACCCCCAAAAAGGAAAGAAAAAAATGACGATAATATACTAAGACGAACGAAAAAGAAAGTGACGAAAAGTAACGAGTGTTTGAAACATAACTAATAATAGACTTTTTTTTTTGTGAGACATGGATTTTCTCTAAATTAAAAAATAAAAAGGCTCTAAATTAGGAAACAATAATTTATTGGAATGTTGTAGTGATTTTAGGAAATACATATATACGGTGAGAAGAATAAATGGAAAAAGATTTAATTGCGCAAATAACTTAGCATTTGCGCCTTGCTTTGTTGGTAAGTTTTATAGTCGATTCCACACATTTGTGGGTGGTATATATACAAAATGTTTGTTACTCTGATGAGTTATTTTTTCTTATGAAAAAACTTAAAAAATGCATTTGATGTAAGAATGTTTACAAAAAATAGTGTGTTGAAATATTAGTGGTTAAAATAATATATTTGAACATATGAAATTCCAATCTGAAGAAAATTTGCGACAAACGGTGTATTACTATTTATTGGGATGCCGCCACCGTCGGTCGGTGGTTGCTTGCCACCTTTGTTGCTTCGTCATTCGCCATTGCCTTACGCAATTGTCACCGGGTGGCCACTAGCTGGCTGCTGTTTTTCAAATGGACGAAATGCCACCCCATAGTAAACTTTTAAATATTTTAAGGTACCTCGAAGTATATTTTTAAAAAATACAGAGACTTCAGAATTCTTATCACAAAATTAAAAGTACCAAACAATAATTAAAAAACAGAGAGCAAAAGGGGAAAATGAGGAGAATGGATAAAGATGCTCTAAGTGAACTATTGTGTCCAACTTCCTACCTGAGAAAATGATATATAAATTATTTAGAATTTATTCTCTTTAACTTATTTTTATTAGTTACGAAGTACTCCATCCGTCCCATTTTAAATCGTCCGTTTTCATTTTAGGACATATTTAAGGAAGAAAAAAAATAGAGTTGACTTTCTGATATTGCATCACTTTTTAGGAGAAGTCACGATGAATAAGAAGAAAAGATAGAAAAAAGTGACTTATTTTAGGAATAGTTTATGGATTTTTACTCTTAAAAGTTTACGATAATAAGAAATAAGCAACTTATTTTGGGACTGAGAAAAAAAGGAAAACAAGTAATTTAAAATAGAGCAGAGGGAGTACTTTATATTATTTATAAAAATTAGATTAAAATAAAAAGATTCATAGCATATCAAGCTATTAAATTCAAACGAAAAAAACATGCATTTAGTTTCTTTTGTATTGTATTTAAATATACTCTGAATATATTCCATTCATCTCAAATTAATAGGTAATGTGTCAAAAAGACACTTCTTCCAAACTCGAAAATGATAACAATCTCTAACTACATTTGTACAACTTCATCCGTCATAGTGGAGTGAAAAATAAAAATCAAAGTAACAAACAATACTCTCCTTCTTCCCCATTGGAGTTTTCCAAGTTCAACTTTCCCTACTAAACATGTTGACTTTGACTAAAGGTTTTAATTGGCATATTTTAGTTTTTTAGAGAAAAATATTGTGAAAAAAGAAAGAATTATATATTCTTTATATACCTATAATTTTTTTTTCATAAAAATATACCAATGGTCAAAGTTTAATAACTTGAAATGGAAGAGTCGAAATTAGAAAATTCAAACGGGGCCGAGGGAGAGACTTGGTACTGAAGCGAGCGTGGCCTTCAGATGTTTTTGCGGCGGCAAAGAGAGTAACCGGAGACGAGAGAGCTCAAGGCGAAGGCGGCAAAGGCTAGGAAGGACATTGCGATGGAGGCGCTCGCCATTTTGGTGAATTCGTCATTTCCCCAATTTGATACCCAATCTTGTACCCTTGTTGCCGCGGACGAGGACGACGACATCAAAAGGTAAGCCAACACCTGCAAACAACCTATCTCTCATTTGTTTTTTCACACAACAACATGACTACATGGCTAGCAAAAAGCTAGGGTAACACCCTACAATTTTGAAACCACTATTGACATCATGCTTTGCACAGACATCAGTGCCACACCTACAGTCAATCAGTTATTGTTTGTGCAGGTGTGTGTGGTATCAAAATTATGAAGCTACCCAAGTACAACTCCATGGCTAAACTCGAGTTCGTATAAAATACATCTCGATGTATTGTGTTTACTGTTTACTGTACATCGCGAACAGACCCGGGCCTAAATTGGGTTGGCCCAAATGCCATTGGATCCGAGGCACACCCGACACGTACCGGGTCCGTTAGCGAAGTCCACGAGTATGTTTGAGCATGTAAGGAGAAAAAAGAGTGAGAGAGAAGTTAACTTGCCTGGTCCATCACAAAATCAAAATGATAACCCAGAGCAGGAGAGGTGAATGATTTTGTGGCCAAGCGGTAAGACAAAATCAAGCCTTGAAACCCAGAATATACAAATCCAATTACATTCACTGCCAAACAATACCTGCCATTATATGTATAGAAGAATGGATGCCAGTCTTAGCTTGGAAACCATAATTGTTGTGGATATTTTGAGAGTGATGGTGCTTATTGACTTATTGTTTATACGATGTTTTTAACTTATAAGTTGCTTATAAGTTAAAAACTTTCGTGTAGATTAAATAACTTAAATGATATATAAGTCATTTGGTGATATTCATAATAGAGTTTTGTAAGTAATGTAGTCAAAACGGAGAAAGGAAAAAAGCTTAAAAATAAGTACGTAAGACTTACTTTTTCTGACTTATAAGTCAGCTTATAAGCACAGAGAAACGCGTCATACTCATAAGTAAAAAACAACTTATAAGCAATTTTGACCAACTTATAAGCATATAGAAATACCACATACTCCAAAAGTTTCTTGATTTTTTTCAAAACAATTGTGATTCTCAGTTAAACTTAATCCATTTACATTCAGTTCAACTGAATCAAGTTCAATTTACCACTGAGAGTGAGAAAAAAAAGACCAAAATTCACCACTTCTCAGTTCAAGTTATGAGTAACTGTCACTTCGTTTCAGTACATTTCAATTGAGACAGATAAATTTTTAGTTTGTTCTTTTCAGTTGTTAATGAGCTAAACTAAAGTGAAAAGTGTTTGTAATTTTAACTAAAACACAATACATCAAAAGTTTAATGAATATTGACATGAATCATGTCTACATTCATTCAACTTTTGATGTGTTACAAAAATCAAGTAATAATCACTTAGATGTGAATGAAGAGAATAATTTCATACAAAAAGCAAAGAATAACTCTTTTTTAAAACCAGATACCTTCCTCTCATAAATCCCAAAACATCTTTTTTTGAAATGTTTAGAGAAAAAATGGCGTTTGCAATGAAAGTTGGTCTTTTGACCGATTCGAAGTGTCAAAACCTTAAAATGAGTGTTCGGTAAATAATTGTTTTTTGGATAAACAATTCTTATGTCATGCTCCGTAATTACCACGAATAACTTATGAATAGTACTACTTGATTACTCTAGGTCTCTAGTAGTAATTTTTTATAGGACTATTCTTTTCTTCCTCTACGTACACAGCATTGACTATTGACTGGAAATGGTAAACTGTAGTAGTAATAAATTTTGACCAACCATGCTAGGATACACCAAAAGTATATCCTAAATTGCACTGACATTTTTGTCAATGTAAATCATCACACTAACATCCTACTAGCACAAAATGTAGGTACATGCCTTTGGGGTATAAAATGGGATACAAATTTTGGCAGAAAATTACTCGCGGGTGACGCAAGTTTCGTCGAAATAACTTTCAGGTCCCTCTATTTTCAAAAAGACAACCGAGGTCCTTATATTTTTCTTTTTCGGGTTTTGAGGGGTTAGACCGGACCAATTATGTGTCTGGATAGCAATTCAACCACACAGTCCGAGTTTAATAACTGCAAACTGCTTTCTGTCCCGCATTTAACTTGTCTTGATCCTCTTACCCGATTAATTACGAAACATTTTTGTAGGACAAATAAAAGTAATAAAACTTTCGGAATATAATTTTTCTAAGTTAATGCTCAGTTCGGTCCCTATATATATACTTATGAGTTAATTTGATCATGTTGCGTTTAATTAAATTAGTGTTATGCTTGACTGACCCCAACATTGAACCCCAAGACGTTATAGACACAAAACAATGTCAAATATTTATAATGTCGAAAAGAATGAGGTTAAACCTTAGGATTAAAAGGTTGGGGTTAAAATAAATACACAAAGAGATTAGGGACCAAAATGAATATAACAGGATTTATTTACTAACCTGTACTCTTTGTATCGATCCCAAGAGTCGCCGCTCCAGCCTTTGGTTTTATCGGCCGCCATGACGGAGAAGGAAATCGCGCAAAACACCGCCTCGCAAACCCTAAACCCTAGCGCCGCCCCGTCGAGCGATCGATACGGCGGCGGAGCGGAATCAGGTTGCAATCCGGATCTCCGTACGCCTCCCGTCACCGCCGCGCCGTCCTCGACGTCCCTGTCGCGGCCGACCTTCGTGGTCGATCGCTCCACCGAGGATCCGCTCCGGTAAACCCTCAGAGTAGAGGGGGGGTCGAATTGCCGCTGCGGCGGCGGCCGCGGCGGCGGAACCTTGGCGGGGGATCTCTGAGGGGAATAGTACTTATCGACGGAGACAATCGCTTTGGACGGAGGAGGAATCGAGTTCGGCTCCGGAATCGGGTCGTCGGAGCGGAAGGGCGATTCGGATCGGAGAGGGGAGTGGAAGGTCTCCATCTGCGAGTCCGTGTCCGAAATCGACATCTGGCTGCTCTGTTTCCGGTGATTCTTCAGGTGGCCGGACACGGAATTCGAGTTCGGAGGTCCCCGGGCGTCCANCTTCTAGTGGCGAAGAAGGAGTAGAAGGGGACGAAAAGGAGAAGGGAAGAAAGAGAAATGGAAAGAAAGCATTTTAGTAAGTGGAGAAACTTTGAGGAAAAGAAAGGGCTCCGACTGGGGAAGCTTAAAGCATAAATACAAAAGCTGCCGGCTGGCTGACGATGCATGGGATTGCACGAAACCATATTCTTTTTCATGAGCTCCATTGCCCCCACCATAGCCAAACCTTGTCTCTACCTTCTCCTCTAAGAATGAGAAAACCCGTCCCGAGTCCGACAAGGGATTCGGGACAAGCTCGCATCAAATATAACTCGAATGGTCGAAAAAAATAATGGGCTTTCTTTTGGCCTTGACGAAAACTTGACGTGTTAGGAAGTAATATTAGACACAAGAATTAATACTATCTATGATATCCTTGCGTTGTCAACATAAAGCGGAATCAATACTTCATTGACTTAAGGAATGTGAATGATCAAGGAAAATTTGAAAGGTATTCGACCCATGTCGGAATTATTCATTAGTAATGACAATTTGGACTTAGCTCGTGGGCCTCTTTAGCGATCCAGGGCTCACGCTATGGTGTGGCACATCGTGGTGGACATAGCTCGTTTGTGACTTAGATGTTCTTTAAAATAGAGAGAGAGAGAGAGCAGTTTTTGGTGGCATTCTCCGGGACGGCTACGCTATGTCAGACCTTGTGTAGAAATCATTGATTTGTGCTTAGGTTGTGTTAGCATGATTTTCCAAGGGTATGTTTTGATATAGAGAAATTGTCGAGAGAGAAACAAAGTGTTAAATTGAGAATAGAATGAAGATGACAAGACATGATGTCAATCTTTCCCAAGAAAACCTTGATGGTGTGAAGTAGTGCCAAGAATGCAAGATAACCAAAAGAGTGCTCAAGAGTTTAACACCGAAGACCCCAAGATGTAGGTTGTTAATTAGGTAGATCTCATGTAAGAGAAACATTTACTTAAACTTGTCTTTTGGCTCAACATAAGTCATTTTATATGTGCATATAATTTTTAATACCAAAGTTTATTTTTGCCAAAATATATATTTCAAAATAGACCAAGACTTGGCTCAACATAGGTCATTTTATATGTGGACATCGCTTGTGTGTGACTTAAGCGTGCTTAGACGAGAGTTTTAGTTTCTAAACTGTATCACGCTTGCATCTTGGGGGGATGTAGAGGCATTCTAATGCTCCAGGTCTAATAGGGATATAAGAGAGACTTCGCTAACTAACCTTGAATCTTCACTTGAGTCACTAGAGTCATCACTAGACTCCTTAGATGCCTTGAACGCATTTGTTCGTTTGTGATCTTCTCTCAAATATTCTTCTTTCATCTTAATTATCAAAAGCTCGTGAGAATACAAAGAAGACCAAATGTGGGCAGTTGTTTCCGTTGCACATTGGGTAATAAGTCTACAATGCTATTTTGCCACTCTTTCGGCAAAGAAAGTAAAATGTATGTATTTAATTCACTTGTAGAATATTATTTACCCAACTTACCCAACTTGTTCACCACATCATTGAATCGCTTGTTTGCATCTTGGATTGACTCATGTTGGCCAACTTTGAAGCTTTCATATTCTGAGTTTCCTAGGGCCAACATGGTTTGCTTCGTTCTGGCGTCGCCTTCATGCGTGGCTTGAAGTAAATCTCATACCTCTTAGGCCGTTTTGTAGGAGCACACACGTGCGAATTCATCGAGTTCAAGGGAGCAATGAAGAATGTTCATGGCCTTTGTGTTCATCGATAATATCCTCTTGTCCTCCGGTGACAATTGTGCAAGATTACCATTGCTCGGTATAAATGGCTCATGAAGTATATTCAACCACAAATCAAAATCAATGAATTTGTATAAAATATCTCATCTGCATTTTCCAATATGAGTAATTATATTTTGGCTATTGAAAAATGGAGGGCGGTGAATGCTTTGAGATTCCATTGAGGTCATTTTTAAAAAATTTGAACTTTAAAAAATCATAGAATAAAATATTGAAATTTCAAAATTTAATTTAAAATGGGAACAAGTGGATCTTTGTTGTAGATGTGGTTAAGCACTGTCAACTATGAAACCGCTCTGATACCGCTTGTTAGTCGATGTGCCCATGCCTTAGAGGGGATGAATAAGGCATTTAAAAACTTTTTGAAGTTTAATAAAATTGGTGTTGGCAAATGCGGAAACAATAAATAAAACGTAGAATTAAAAGTGGAAAATAAAGACGCCAATTTTAGACTGGTTCGAGAACTCCAGTATCTTAAGGCTCTTCCATAAGGATTTCTGAATCCACTAAGTCTCGGCCTCTTGAACTTCGTCAAAGCACCGAACTAGATTTGGCAAACAAGCTATTCCAATCAGATTCACTCCGAGATTTCACAACGACTATCTCGAACCGTTGCAATGAAGATTTCACGGCTATCTCCAATCGTTCCCCAAAGATTTGAAGGCTATCCTCTAACCTTTTATCCAAGAATTTCTCGGTTATCCTTTACTGTTACAACATAAAATTTAACGGCTATTCTCGACCATAAGAAGGTGTGTTTGGGAACACAAAATTAAGTTCTACGCAACGGCTTAAGAAAAAGATGAAGAATAGGACTTAGTCAATGTAGAAGGAGAATATACTCTCTAGAGAATATAGAATATCAATCTTATAGATATGAGAGTATATATATCTATACCAAAGCTCAATAGTGTATCTATAAAAATCAAGAGAAAAATGGCTTTTGAAATGGCCAGAATAATAAGAATGAAGAACAAAAGAATAAACACACCTTGAATATGAAGTTTGGGAGCTTGGGTTCTTATTTAAAATGAAAGATTATGGCCCTATTTATAGTTGAATATCAAATATAACCATTTTATGGCCGTTTGGAGCTGATTTGGATTATTAAAGGTATTTAAAAGTGGTTTCAAAGAATATCAGCAATTTTGAAAAATCTAGCCGTTAAAACGGTACCTAGGTGCCGCCTTAATGGTAGGGGGTCCCGGACTAACGATAGCTAGGTACCTTCTCAGGAAAAAACTCTCTGACCGTAGATGTCCTAACGGTACCCCTTCCGGTAGGGGGGTCCTGGGTAGACGGTACCTAGGTCCCAGATCACTGTGTAGGTTTCTTCATTTTTGGCCAAATACTTTCTGATTTTGTTTAAAACCTTTGAAATGTTTGAAAATGATTATAAGTTGGGTTTACACATATGTTGTGAGTGTATTTGAGCTTGTGAATATATGTATATAAAAGCATATCTTTACATTTATTTCTATCGATATTCTATGCCCATTTGGTATTTCAACTTCGTTCTTGAGAACTAATGCTTAAAAATTTTTTGTTGTACCTGGAACACTCAAACAAGTGTTAGCTCATATATTGTTTGTTAACATCAAAACACGAGATTTAGCAAACCAAGACTAACAACAATTTCCACGCACTTGATCTAAAAATGCTACCGAAAGAACTACTAACGCACCACTTAGAAAATATATAGACCTGGTAGAAACTAAAAATAGCTCAGGGACCTATGGAAAACTTTCAAAAAAAATATAGGATTCTACTAAGTACTTAAAATAATTCAGGGATTTGGGAAGCACTTAAAAAAAGATCTAGTAAGTATTTAAGATGAAGTTAGCACTATTGATCTTTACAATAAAGAGGCCAGAAATGACAGCCTATTTGGATGATTGTTAATATCCTTAGGTTTTAAACTCCTTTTTTGAAGGAGTTAAATAGGAACGAAAGAAAATTTAGGATGGAAATAAAGCCTTAAATGTATGTACTTTGTTCAGAAGTGAATGGAAAATATAGAGGTATAGAAAATAACCATTTATTTCCCTCATTATTTTTCTCCAAATGAAGAGAAAATGTCAATAGTAAAAATTCATTATTTCCCTTCTTATTTAATTAATTAGGTGGTAAACAATATGGAATACTTATTTTGAGCCGAGAGGATTCCAATCGTATACAAGGGAGGTCCGTGGAGGTGTCTCCAGTCGAGAGGAATTCCGATTGCATACGTTTGCATTGTTTTAGAGATATGTACGACGGGCGAAGACTGGGGTAAAGACTATTGAGGGTGGCTCTGATCCTTTCCCCATAAAGGTGGGGTTACACCAAGGGTCCGCCCGTAACTCTTTCTTGTTCACTATGGGGATGGACGTCCATGCGTGAAGAGTTCAATGAGAGGTGTTGTGGTGCATGCTTTTTGCTAATGATATTGTGCATATCAACCACACCCGTGAGAGACTAAACGACAAGTTGGAACTTTGGCACCTTTCTCTGAAATTTAAGGAACTGAGACTGAGTGAGACCAAGACTAAATATATGAAACGTCATTTCAGTGGTAGGAAGACGTAATCAAGGGTGGAAGTTAGGATTGATTCTCAACCAGTGCCCAAGATTGACAATAGGTTTAAAAACCGAACCGAATGGCGTATCCCTTAATATAATAAAGGAGACTCGGATGCATGAGAATGCGACATTTGGCATGCCTATTTGGCAAAAAATGGAACACATCAGCAAGATAAGCCACGTAATAATAGAAAAAATAAAAGAAAACAGCGGATCTGAGGAGTATTATCTTCGCGACAGTCACGATGAAGATCTGCCGAGCTTTGAGATTTTCGAAATCAAACCTTTTCTTCTATGGTCTCTGGAGAAACGGAAGAAATTGGATGAAGATCTTCCGAGATAATCCTAGGAGATTTTCTCGGAATTCAAGGCTCCTTTCCTTCTATTGTCGCTGGAGAACCCGGAAGAAATTGGATGAAGATCTACGAGATAATCCTGGAGATTTTCAAATTCAAAGCTTCTTTCCTTCTATGGTCGCTGTAGAAACAGAAGAAATTAGAGAAACGTTGGGATTCAAACCTCTTTGCCTTCAAAAAATGAAGAAATTGGAGAAACACTTCTGATTGCTAAATCTTTGCATTGGCGGAGAAAGAGGGACGATTGTGCCTTCAAAATTAGGTAAGTCCGATTCACAACCTATGCACGATTCTGATTTAGCTTCCAAAATTAGGACTTTTCTTATTTCTTATATATCACGTTGGAATACATTCATTTCAATTGTGTTCTTCTCGATTCAAAATTTTTGCCTTGGAAAGAAAACTACAAACGAATTGTTTTTTGTTTGCTGAATCATCATGTCTTTCAAGCCCATTCACCCTTTATCAAAAATCAATCCGACAAGTGAGTGTTGGAGGATTTGTGTTCGTGTGATACTGTTGTATACGTTGCATGCGTTCAACGATAACAAGGCATCAAACTCAATAGAGATGGTGTTCCTCGACGAACACCTAAGTATATATATCATATGTTAAATGTTTATAAAAGTTTAGCCTTTGTTCCAAGTTTTTATATATTTCATGTTTTTTTCAACCAATGTTTCTGTCCATATATTGAACCGATCTTTCTTTAACCAATGTTTTGTTTGAAACATGTTTTAATGTAAAAACATTAAGGAGATGGACAGAGTTGGTGATGTTGAGATTCCTTTAGATAGAATTCTTAATTCTTGATACAAGTTCTCCTATGAAGAGTATAGTGGACTTCGCTTATCCGAATATATTAGAGAATAAGAAAAATTATTCTTTTTTTGAGGATAGAGCACTATTGGCACCAACCCTCGAAGTAGTTGAAATGATACATGAATTTGTCATGTCCATCATTCCTGGTGATGAAAAGAAATACTTGAGTTCTGATTCTTCGTGCCAAGCAGATGCAGATGTAGGTGTTGATGGCGATTGGATAACAGTTGAGTTTTTGAATGAAATCAAATGTTCGGGAACCCCAAACCACAAAATAGTTTTGAAAAAAGGGGTACCGATTATGCTATTGAGGAACATTGACCAAACATTTGGATTGTGTAATGAGACAAGATTAATCGTTCAAGAGATGCGAAATAATGTTATCGGTGCAATTGTGGTTTTGGGAAATCAAGTCGAGGAAAAAGTTTACATCCCTAGAATGAATTTGATACCATCTGATCCAGGCCTACCCTTGAAGTTCCAAATAAGACAATTCCCCATCACCTTATGTTTTTGCTATGACTATCAACTAAAGTCAAGGTCAAACAATGTCATTTGTGGGGTTATTTTTAACCAAGTCGGTGTTCACACATGGTCAGCTCTATGTTGCTGTTTCACGAGTGAAAACAAAGACAGGATTAAAGATATTGGTTCTAGATGACAATGGAAACCCTTGCAACCATGCATACCAAAAATGTTGTATTCGCTAGAGTCTTTCAGAAAATTTGGTATTAAAATAAACATTGTTAACTCTACATTCTTTTCTGTATATATTATTTATTTTACTTTGGTTTATTTCATCTGTATTATTAAAATTAATTTGCACAAAAATTTTTAACCATACCAAAAAATAAATTTCATTGAAATAATTCAGAATCGACATAAATTGCGTTCGACCCCGTGCATAGCACGGGTTAGAATACTAGTTCATAAATAAAAAAGACCCACCCCTTGGGCATCCATCAATTTTTCCCTATACTTTTATAGCTACCATCTGTCGTATATGTGGTCATGCTTTTTTCTTTTAGTCAATAAAATATGATCTACAAATTTCTCAATTTTACTTTACTCACATACTATTACAACTTTTTTTCTCATGTCCACACATAAAAAATTGATTTCTCATTAGAAAGTGCAATCGACAAAAATCTACCTGCAATCTTTGCATATCTCAAATGGTGCTTGAGATAAATTGGCCAAATATAAATTGGCCATATGGTGCTTGAAACTTGCCCAACTTATGTTTGGCATGCTAACTTAAAAATTTAACCCAATTGGGAGGGAGTGGTTTGGTAAAACATTACTCATATACACTTTTACAAAATCATGTTGAATTTCTTTAAACATTTTGATCAATGTAACTTTGAGAAAAACCCCATTTGATTGCCTGCTATGCCAAGGGCTAAAATGCCTTCAATCCAAACACGCCCTAGACGTGTTGGGGGTAAAAAGGTAATGAATACTCCAACAACAAAAAACCTATTTCACATAACCACATTTCACAGTTTGGGCACACCCCCTTTGTACAACTGAGTCCACACTTTCACTTAGACAAGAGAAAAAGAGCATTCGGTTTCGTCGAGTTGTGTGTGTATTATTTATTTTCAGCCTCTAAGTTCACTATGAACACTTCAAGAGTGGAGACAGTCAACAATGGCTATAACAGGCAAAAAAAACTCACCAAGAGCCAATGCAGTTAGAATATACTAGAACCTGATGTATGATGTGAAGATCTCTCTCTCTCTCTCCCTCTCTCTCTCTCTCTCTCTCTCTCTCTCTCCCAGGAGAAAAAAAGGGGTCATTGAAGAGGCGAAACGCGTTCTTCGACCACTACTTGGACAGAGTTTTCAACAGTTGTTGATGAGGTTTCAGAATTCTCAGTACTGACTGGACGAAGCAGGCCGTGCAATCTTAGGATATAGCTCTGGCTAGAAGGTGGTTGTGTTCTGATATAGCTGTTTGCCGAAGCTGATGACCTCTCCGGGTCGGGTTGGATATTGGACAGAGCACTCAGATCAAGGTTTGGGAAGACCGAACAGCGGCACCTTGGGCATTTTACGTTTAGGCGGAGCCACTGGTCAATGCATTCCACATGGAAGTTGTGAGCACAAGGTAGACCGCGGACCTGCACCGGGTATTATTATCATTATAATTAAGAGCTGTTTCTGAATAACTGAGGGATGTTCGGTTCACCATTCATGGAATGTGACATAACATTGCTCAAAATGAACTCTGAAACTAATATCAACTCATTCATTTTCTTAAAGAGTAAATTCCATAAATGGTCCCTAATTACAGGTAGTTTTCCATATTTAGTTCCCAAATCTAAGATATTAGATAAAAAGTCCTCAACTTTTGAAAACCATTCCATAATCGGTCCTTCGGGGACCATTTGTGGAAAAGCATTTTGTAATATTTGGCCTAAAGGACTATTTATGGAATAGTTTTCAATAATTGGGGACCTTTTATGTATTATCTTAGGCTTGGGGACTAAATATGGAAAAACGCCTATAATTAAGGACCATTTATGGAATTTACTCTTTTTAAAAAAAGGCATAAATGGGATAGATCTTTTCTTTTACCTCATTTCCGGCGTGAAACTCTTCCAGGCAGATGGGGCACTCACTGCATTCAGTTGGGACAGCCGTCATCGTGAACTTGGGCAATTCCTGTATAAGTGCCTCCACTGCTTCTCTCTATAAGACAAGGAGAAATAATGGGTTAAGAAGATGGTACGTTACAAAGACTAGTACGAGTAACAAATTTCTTGAGATACATATCAGAATATACTGCCATCACAATATCACGTGTTTGACAGAGAACATTAATGGTTCAAAACACAAGACTTTTTGGATCATTTAAGAAAACAATCAATAAGTAACAAAGAGAGGATTACTAGTTACTACAAATGATCCATAAATACTTGAGGAAGAGAATAGTCCATTTTCACAAGATACTAAAAGAGCTCTTATGAACTGTCTACGTATTGAATGACCATAAGAAGATAAAAAAAGACGCTAATTAAATGTCCTCTAGTTATAAGGTTTTACCTGAGCTGGGGTCAAGTAAAGTCCGGGATGGTATGCAGTAGCATCTTGACCCATCCCCCTCATTTCTTGACCAACATCAAATGCCCATCCTGGCACCCGAATCATGTCAACCAACACCTGTAATGAAGAAAGCGTCTCAGAAACTGGAATGGGTTAATGGAAACTAAGTTTAGTAAAATTGATGTGAATAATATTCTGAGCTAAAACAGATAGAAGTCCCTTCCAGAGATCATTGTCCATTCACATAGGTGTATGTTACTTCATAAATAAATAGACATAGTAGAAGACACTGCTTTGCATGATTTATAGGTCGATGTAGCATCTCAAAGTAATGACTTGTTTTAATCAAGTCAGGCTGAAGATTAGCATGACATTTTTTTTCTAATTCTTTTATTCTCATTAATCAACGAGCCCGAGCAAACTGTGCAATGCAATAAAAAAATCACATTTCACATCAAGCCACATGTTGAAGATCATAAGATATATTTTGGCAGGGGCAATAAAATGTCTGGCAGTGTTTATCCATCAATAAAAAGACAAAGTCTTCAAATGCATAAAGCCGGGCCAGGGTGTAGAGGCCAGGCCCTAGGAGCGAGGGATTTTGCCTTTTTGCCTCAAGGGAAGGGAGAAGAGAGAAAATATAAGAAATTCATTTATTAAATCAATCATCATATGTTGAAAGCTTTATTTTCATTGGCGAACACTTGAGATATATCTTGTTTAGACCCTTTGAAATTACACAGTTCATTTAGCACTGCTCTCACAAACATCAAAACAATATATAGCATTCTGCAAAATGGGCAAAAAACTACAAGGTAAAAGTGAACATGGGGTCTCAAACTATCGTGAGAGTGCAGAAAGTTCAAATGTGTCTCAAGTCAATTGTATCATAGTTTTCATGAAATACAGGAAGACTATTAGGGGAAAAATGATGGGTGCAATAAATTATAAAACTCATGCAAGATATCTTCCCCAAAGCTCTCTGGATATCTGCCCCAAAAGCATTTGCAGTCTGGAAATAAAAATCTAACCCAGCCTTATACTGGATCAAAAAGGAAAAATGCATAATGATAATGTTGCAATTTGAAGCTTACCCCAAATTCTGAAAATGATGGCCCTTGTTGATCACGTAATAAATGTGCTTGTCTTCTTGCCAAGAACTGCAAATACAAAATTAAAGGCATGAACGTGAAATCATTTTGTTTTCCTCTTTCTTACATCTCTCTTTAGATTAGTTGGAGTACAAGAAGAGACAAGTGGATAAAAGGAACATTGAAGAATGAACAAAAACTAACCTTTCTTGTAGTTATGCAAGCAATACACACAAGCCCACAATAGCTGAAAAGCAACCAAATCAGAAACCCCCACTTCTGACCTTCTTCTGGAAGCTATGTGAATTCATTTTCATTATAAGCTTGATGATGGAAATGAAAAAATGAATTGAAACAAGTTTTTGGAAAACTTACACAATTTCTTGAACTATTGAACCATAGAGCCCCAATTATGGTCCAACCCCAAAGAAATGGATAGAGCAGCAAAGCTAAGATAGAAAGAACAACGATTCTTCCACAAAAGCGGGCACGTCTCTGCTGCCAGCCAAAATCACTAGGACATGCAAAAAAAATGTTCTCATTTACGGTTTCCAATTGATGTTACACATCATCTCTAACAACATACAATATTGAAGCTCATCAATAATTGTTTTCACTGACCTAGTGTCCTTTATAGATTTTTTCAGTTTAAGTTATAAGCATTAAATGCAACAATTCAAATGAAGAGATATTGCTCAACACATAAAATCAAAGTAGCCAACTATGGTCTGCTCTTTTCAAATTATTTTATGTTCAGTTCACCACTTTTCAAATAGCAATTGAAATTAAACTATTCAACTTCCAGTTCAGCACGAACAGTTTAATTCATAGTAGTTCATTTCAGTTTAGTGATCACTTCTCAAATCAGTTGACTGAAATATCATACGAAAATAACAGATCCTTGGTAAAACAAATTAAGAGTCCTTACAGTCCCATTCCAGCGGCAAGTCCATTATCCACAAACATCAATAGCCGAAAGACAAACACTACCGCGTAGTCAACCTGGATCAAGAGCAAAAACAGGCAAACAGAAACCCCTTTAGCAAATTCAGTTTGTACCATATGTATTTGGCATCAACCACAAGGAACTCTCAAGATACCTACCACGATCCATATGTGCAAGGGGTATACACAAGAATGGTACCTCTTCCAACTAACCGCAACTATTATTCTAATTAAAGTTCAGAAAACACATTTGACTGGACACTTGTAACTTTCAAGAAAGCAACCAACAACTATAACACAAAGAGGAAACCATAATGTAGATGGAAAACAAGAACTTCGACAGCAATCCTGAGTCCCAACATCAAAGGATACATACTTGTAGCCAGCATTGACAAGAAAAACCCATCATACCTGCAACAAATGCGAAAATCAACTCATATGATCTGAAGATTCACACATACACTACAAAAACAGTGCGATTTTGCAGATATGGAGAGCTTACCACTTGAAATCGACCCCTCTCATAGCCATCCAACAACAAACTGAGAAACCCTATGGTTCAATTATCTTCATCCGTCAACAAAACCCCAAATAGGATTGTCGCATACCCACACAATCAAGCACGCCTGAAAAGCAAAGATGAATGTCCGGGAAAATATGGCGGTTCTTTTTCTTGGATACTTCTTGTATTTTCACACAGCAGAGAGTGTTTATTTACTCCAGTAGATAATCGGTGGACTGAGTATGAAGAACAGACCCAAAACTGCCCCTAATCTTCTCCGGAAGGACGACGACGGTCGCCGGCCGCCGGGTATTTGAGGGTGCGGGAATTGGAAGCCGGCGGAGGGTTTTCTGGTGGAGAATTGTTCGCTGTGTGGGAATCAGGTTCGGGTACTCAATAATGATGAACATACCAAGGGGATCAACTTCAGCCTATACGTTTCACTTTCAGAACAAAAACTCAAAAAGTGAGTATTATGAAAATATTATCCAACATTTTGTTTTGTTAACCTATAACATTAAATGATTTCTTCCTCTCGAAATAATCTTTTTATTTGATTTTTTTACGATAATATAACATTTATACATGGATATATTTTAGAAAAATGATATGAAAAAATTATTGATACTATACTTATATTGAAACACAACGTATCTTTTCCAAAGGTCAAGGATTACAAACCTTAATCAAGAAAAATCAAATTAGAAGACTATTACTGGACATAGAGAGTAACACTTAATTACTCCCTTTGTCCTAAAACCATCTTCCCGTTTGTGGACAAGATTTGACCGACTTTATTTTTAATTCAATTTATTTGATTGTAGTTATAAAATTAAAAATAAAATTTATATATTTAAAAACTATATCAAAAGTTTTACAGAACCGAAGGTGACAAGACTCTATTATTTTAACAAATAACTAACAAAAATAGGCAAAGAAAGCGATTTAACATTCACCGTGTAAATAGTAATTGGGAAGATAGTTTTAAGACGAATAAAATATAAAAATATATATATCCAAGCAAAACCTGAATCAAGTTTGAAGAAGAGAGACTACATGTTTTTAATTGAACGTAAAATATACTCTTTTCGTTCGAAAGTGATCTTTTCATTTAGTTTTTCTTGAATAACATTTGCAAATTTTGATTTCGATATATAAAAAATATGATGGGTTTCAACATAAATACTCCCTTCGTCCTTAAATATTTGTCACACTTCTATTACTGAGGAAAAATATCAAGTTTCAATTCATTTTATTTACATATTGGTATAGAAATAAAAATAAAAATTACATATGAAAAAACTACATGAAAAGTTCTTCGAAATAAGAGGTGTCAAGAATATTTTATTTCATCAAATAACAAATAAAAATGTAGAAATAAACAAAAGTTCTCGCGACTGTTGAATAACTAACATTAAATAATTTCTTCCTCCATAAATGATATTTCTATTTAAGTTTTTACGGTATCCAATGTAATAATATGTACGTTTAATATTTCAAAACTATGTTTTTATTATAAAATTATTAATGCTCCCTCCGTTCCACTTGAATTTTATGTATAGTATTCACCGGATCAAACGTTATATATTTTGTTTTCCTATTTTCGTTACTCATTTGATAATATAATATATTCACGCCAACTCTAGTTTGTAGATATTTTAATATAACTTTTTAATATATTTAATTTTTATTTTTTTTAATTCTATAAATATAATAAAATAAATTGAAATTAAGTTGGTCAAACATTGTAATGCGGACGGGAAAGATTCAAATAAAATGACAGAGATCATTTATATCCAAATAAAGAAAAATGCTAAGGGTACACCAAAGGTGTACCGCATATGTCCTCCACCCCTCCTTGTCCACTAAAAAAGGCAAAAAAAATTTTAAAAAAAATAAGTAAATAAAAATCAAGTAAAAATGTATGATGGAGAAGGGGGTGATGTACGGGGTAACCTTTGGTGTACCCTAGCATTGCTCCCAAATAAAATGTATATTGCCCATTTCTTCTAAGTTCTAACACTTCGTACGAAGGCCGTAGAAACGCAGACGCAGGTCGCAAGCTAATCGATCGGAAAATTCTGAGTGCCGGTAGAGACATCGCCGCCGCCGCGAGACGCCGCCGACCCTCCAGGTATTCCGCATTCAGACTACTCACAAGATTTCCAATTTTGTAACTTTTTTCTTTCTTTCATAGTTTCATTCTTTGGATTTAAAATCTAGGTTTAATTATTAGTTTTTAATTTGAAATCTTTGCTAATTGCTATGAAATAGAATTAATTAGTGGCTCTATATGTTCTTTATTTGATTTGGATGAATTGATTTGAAATAGAATGATTTTATGATATATATAATCTATAAAAAACTGGAAAAAAAATGGACAACCCTATTACTCTATTAGAAAGGTTTCAGAATCAACCTTTTCCGAAACTGATTAATACTCTATGTGTGTACACGGATCTGTTTCTAGGGTTTCTAGGCTTCTTTTATCTCAAATTTGTTCCAAAAGGAATAAGGTCTTGTAATTTCAGTGTATGGTTGGACGAGGGTTTGTTTTTTATTCTTTTTATTGCTCATTTTTTCCATTTTGCTCCCCAGGCATGATTTGAAGCAGGGGGAGACGGATGCTCCGGCAGGCAATCACATTTTGGTCCAGCCAAGATTTTGGGTAAGTTTTATGCCACTTTTTTTTACATGTATTTTGGGTGAAATTAGATTGATGAAATTGTGGAACAATTATTTGGAAAAAAGAAAATTGATAAAAAAAGGAGAAAAAAGAGTTATAAAAGTGAAACTCAAAAGTTTCCAAATACCACTAGAGAGTCAACTAGGAGAAAATTTCAAACATACATAAGCTTAGGCTAAAAAGATAACAATAGCACTTCTTCCACTAACTTCTACCACAGTAACAGTTGCTGCTCCCAGATACTTTTTTGAAAAAATTGGTTTTGATACTTTACGCCACATCGACTCCCCTTTCGTCTAATAGATACTTTGCCATCTCTATATGATAAAAGATGTGGCTCTGTAAAACATGAATGGAAAAGGCTCTCTGACAAAAACTCGCTCTCCAGTAGAAAATAATAGAAAAAGTAATGAATTGAATTACTGAAGATACAAAGAAACCCAAGAATTGTATAAACAAACATCTATATGATACTTTGCCATCTCTATATGATAAAAGATGTGGCTCTGTAAAACATGAATGGAAAAGGCTCTCTGACAAAAACTCGCTCTCCAGTAGAA